GTATGTTCGCAAGCACCTTAACTGCGGTCGTAGCTCAGTAGAACGGTTGATGGTATAAATCCTGCATGACCTTAAGGACCCTAAACTATGGGAATTATGGTATATTCCTTAATATGGGTAATGCAGGATTTATATCATCAACCGAAGTACAAATACACTGCATCTATGACCCTAGCTACAAAGTCCCAGGTCCCAGGATGCTGTGCTTTAACCACCCTGTGCCCATGCTCCAAAAGCTTAGAATTCATAGACAATGCTCGATCAGTCGGAGACCCGAAGACTTAAGCCCAAGTACGTCCTTAGGAGTATTAGGAATAACCCTAGACCTTGCACTTAAAATGGTGTTTTCAGGGGTATGTTGTAAGAAAAGGTTAGCAGAATTCATCGTTTTCATTGCGACATAGAACTGATATTCTCCTAAAATGCATGAAACTTCAGACTTCTGTTCTGCGAAAACCCTAAACCCTAAACCCTTGCTAGGAGGAAAAGAGGTGCTCAAAAAGCACTAAACCCTGAATCTTGGAACCTGAATTTGAAGCACCGAGTCCTCGAAGCTCCCAAGCCTCAGAACCGCAAAACCCCAAACCGAAAGGCCCCAACAACCCCTAAAACCCTGAACCCTTAAACGCCTATCTAAACCCTAAAACCCCGAAACCTTGAACCCTCCTAGTACAGGAGTTCTAGCTGTACGTGCAGGTGGAAAAGAGCCTTTAAAATATCAAAAGAAACCCAAAACCCTAAACCCTAAACCCCACGCCCTGTTCAAAGAGGTCGGGGCTAACTCTGGCACTGGGTCCGTGTTCAAGGATTGCCAGACCATGCTCTGCCTTTCTTGAGATTTGGTGGGCATTTAGGGTCTCTAGGGTTTTTTGGGGGGATCTGTCTGTCCGTCGGTCGGTCGGTATCTCTGTCTCTCTCGCGCTCTCTCTCTCTCTCTCTCTCTCTCTCTCTCTCTCTCTCTCTCTCTCTCTCTCTCTCTCTCTCTCTCTCTCTCTCTCTCTCTCTCTCTTTCTGTCTTCCTCCCTAAAGATTGACGTACATACTACATTTATAGACACAGTATGCATGTAAGCACCTATTGTGTACTTCTTGTACCATTGCCTACCGATCTGTATATACATATAGATATGTATATCTCTCTGTCGGTCGATGTATCTGTGTTTATGTGTATCTATTTAGCTTTCTATTTACCACTCCATGCAGTTATCTCTTTTCTCTTGGAGTGCATGTGTATTGTATGTGTATATATATATATATATATATAGATATACAGATGTATGCATGTATGCGCGTATGTATGTATGTATGTATGTATGCACGGTTGTATGTATGTATGTATGTATGTATGTATCCATATATGTGCATATATGTGCCGGTGTGTCTGTACAGATGTATGCTTGAATATAACTGTTTGTGTATGTATATATATATATATATATATATATATATCAACATATATGAACATATATATATATATATATATATATATATATATGTACCGGTTATTGTTGCATGCATGTACGTGCAGTTTACACATATATATATAGACACACACACACACACACATTTCAGTCTGTACTTGTGTCACAGTTTTGATCTGACCAACTGTAGCCCGGAGTCACAACCGATGCTACAAGCCCGCCCCGTCAGGACTCACTACGTGGAAAAGGCACCAGTTTGCCGGGTTGTTGTTCTAGGGTTTGGGGTTGTCGGGTTTAGGGTAACCCTAAAACCAGAACCCTTGGGTTTTCGGGTTTATGGTGGATTGTCGTGTAGGTTGTTTACGGGGGTTTCCAAGACGCAGGATTGGGTCCCCTGCATACCACCCCCAAGGACGAAGAGTCGGATAGAGTCCTGAAGATGCCAGCCCTAAGAGTCTAAGGCTCTGATGTTTCGAGTCTCAGGAATATTGGTCCTTCAAGGTTTGGGTTTAGTGTTTACTCTGAGCCCTTCAAGTGTCTTACACCTTGGATAGTGCCCCAACTCAGTAATTAACAGCATATGTGTTGAAAACCCCTGGGGTAAGCAATGGCCAAAAGCCTAAAGCCTATAAATCCTGAACCCTAAACCCTAAACCCCTAAACCCTAAACCCCTAAACCCTAAACCCCTAAACCCTAAACCCCCAACTAAAGCCTATAAATCCTGAACTCTCGAAGTTTCCGGTGCAGGTCTTGTGCACCTGCGCTGGGCCGGGAAGCTCTGATCCTCCGAAAGGGCCCAAAGTACCTATAAGGGTTGTATGACAGGGTTCCTTTAAGGGTTCCTTAAAAGGGCTTTAAAGGTTCCTATATGGGAGGGTGTTCAAGCCAACCATAAGGATGATAAGAAGAATTCCTATTGTAGAACCCTTACTTTCTACGGTATAGGTACTTAGCACCCTTTGGGAATATTGTGCTGGCTTTGAAGCCTAAACCCTAAGCCTGACACCCTACATCCTAAACCGCTGGTATGGGTCTGGCTTCTTGCTATTCAGCTTCCGTGTGGTGTCTTGAGGTTTTAGGGTTGGTCTTGAGGGTTCAGGCTTCTTGTCCGTTTAGTCCCGTTTTGGAGGGAGCCGTTGTTGGCAAGTTTAAGTTCCGAGTTGCTGGGGGTCTAGGCAGGCTCTATGGGGTGGTGACTTTCTCTTATCTGTTCTTGATGGGAGTGATCTTGAAATTCAGGGTGCCCTTTGCTGCTTGGGAATTTAGGTTCATGGCAGGCTACTCGCCTAGGTAGGCCGGTGGGATGCGTTTCCTCGTTTCGGCCATAAGAGGACCCCACTTAAGCATAATGTGTTTCAGAGGCAGTGGTGCGCCAAACTACGTACCTGTGTTCTCGGGCACAAACGGATCAGTGCTGCACTGGCTGCACTCACCGAGTCACGGTGAATCCAGCAGACATGGACGCTGATGAGGTCCTGAAGGAAGCGCCGACAGACCAAGCCGCTCACACGGCCCGTCCCATGAAGGACTACTTGAATAAAACGTCAAAGCTCGAATGGCTCCAACTTAAAGGACTAAGGGATCATGGGACTTAGTAATTGGGGTTATAAGTAAGGTAGCTACAATTAGAACTACTTATAACCCCAATTAAGCTACTTATAACCCTACTTACTAAGTCCCATGATCCTCCAAGTAGACCCTAAACCCTAAACCCTTATAGTACCCCTATAGATCCCTTACAAGGGACCCCGATAACTAAACCCTAAACCCGAAACCTCCCTGCAAGAAGCTCTGCAGCGCCGGCCCGAAAGTTAAAACCCGCGAAGGCTCAGCTGGGGATGCTTGTTACGGGTTTAGGATTTTGGGTTGAAGGTTCATGGGCAGTTTGGTTTGCTAAGGTGCAATTTTAGAAGTAACTGAGTTGTGGTTAAGTTATGCATATGTCTGACGTGCACGCTCTGCTTTCATCTACGCATGAAGCATTTCAAGCGATAACATGCGGTGACTGATAGAAGGGCCTGGATGATGAGAAAAACGAGCAGTTCCTCAGAGTTCCCTACTACATGTACGTTTAACACCCCGCCCAAGTCTCCATAGTCGCCCAGGTGTGTCAAGATCTTCCCTTAGCTGTGGGCTACGTTCCCGCCCAGAGGCACGGATGGAGCGCCCAAGCCTTAAGATGACCTTCAGGCAACCCCAAACCCCAGGCAACCCAAACTCTCACGTCCGGAACATACCAGGTAGAATCTTTTTTCCTCAAAAAGTGGGCATTTAGGAACATTAAAGGCTAGTGGCGGGGTCTTGGTATTACCAAATCTACAACAATCGAAAATCCTATCGCTCAAGAATTTGTGGGTTCTCCTTCCCCTGAAATTCCTTGCAGATCGAATTCAGGGTTTCGGGGTTCTGGCCCTGAACCCTAAACCCCTAAACCCCTAAGCCCTAAACCCTAAGCCCTAAACCCTACCTGTAGCCGGCTTGGCCGACAATTTCGCAATAGGGGCGAAAAGCTATCGAATATACGGGTCACTTGTTGTAAATACGGACCTTCTCTGAATATCTCAGATTTCCATAATCCAGCATATTTCTGGGTTTGCAAGAGTTTATGATCAATCAGCAACATGTTGAAGAAATGGCCAAGCTTAGGGCTCAAGTTCGGCTGCCATCATCTTCTTTGTGCAGTTCATAGGAGTGCATGTAGGCTTAGATTGTGATGGTACGTATCATGTCTGTAATTTCAGACTACTCTAGCACTATAAGACCGTGGTTCGATGCCATTGACCCAGCAAACCCGTGGAAGAACCTGGTAAAACCAACTTACAACCTCCTCGAATGCTGTCCTGAGCGGCTGGCTCCATCTTTTGCTGCGCTGCAGCGGCGATCGGGCACTTCAAGGTGCCAAGCCCCCATACGAACACAGCGAATGAGTGAATGTCGGGCTTCTAGGTTAAGTTGAGATTGAGAGAGTGGGGGATTATGAGAGCCAGTGAGCTTATAAGGCTACATTGATGTATACCCACGCATACATTCACACACAGCTGAAATCAGACAGCCTTATGCTGCGATTTTCTGCAGCTCCAGGTGTGTTGCACACAGAGCCCGAAGCAACACATGCTCATGTACCTTTCGAGAGCTAACACGGCGTGAAACTCGTGAAGGTTTTCCCACGTAGTCCTCCTGTTGTTGGACCGATTCTGATAATGGGTTGCGCACCCATTCGCTTTTTTGGGAATCGGAGTGAAGACGAAGAGCCACATGGCTCAGCATATGCAACTTTGGTACAAGTTGAAACCGATTGAGTGACCGGGCCGCTGACAGGAATGCACATCGTTGGTAGCTCAACAGAAACACCTGCAGGAGCTCCGCGACTTTCACAGCTCGGGTGGCAGGGATCCAGTATCCCTCACCATACAATGCAGCAAAGAAAACATTGATGCATTTCGTAGCTCCCACCTGCGATACGATTTAAGTTGTATTCGGAAGAATAAAGAAACCTAAAAAAACTAAACTGTTAATTGAATTAAACTAGTAATTGTCAGTGACTCCGATAAAACCACTAGAACGAGATCACAGCTGGTTCACTGTTCGAAACAGCACAGTGTACACTGCCCTTGCGAGTGAGGCGCAATTTTGAGAAAGATTTCATCCTCCGTTTGGCCCACGACATAGTCCTCCAAAAGCTTCGCCAAAAACATCATCATATTGGTGGAGACTGCTCCCTTGGCCCAATGGCCAACTGGAAATGATTTCTCTGAATCGAAACTGAAAGTATCGCGATTGATCTCCTGGATGTACGGTGTCAACTTCTCAGCCCTGCAGAACTGAAAGTACAAGCTTGTTAAGCGAGCAAACTTGGCGTCCCAGGACGGGTCATCAAAGAAATGAGTAATCAACAGAATCATGGCCGATCCCACGTAGTACTTTGCAACCCCATAATGAAATGCGTGCCAAACATCCACAGTGAAAAAGCACTCCTGTGCCCCACGAACTGTGGGGATGCCAGTGAGAATCTCAGGCTCAGACTCCCAAGGAACCTCACGATAAAGTGTGTTGCGCCATGATGCCCCATCGCGGAAGTCCTCCCATGGATGGCGGCTTGCATTGTTCGGTCCTTCCACACCCGCCTGGCACAGGTGGCAGATTCCAATGCAGTTCTTCTTGCTGCTCGGTGCCTTTGGGCATCGAGCGTAGTTGCGCTCCAGCCCACCCAAACGAACCAGGGCTGGCAGGTCCCCCTTTGTTGCGATATGACAACACCATATCTTCAAGGATCCATCCGAAGACGTAATTCCTTCCGAACATAGCATCTGCATGTCCTGGGCGAAAAGTCTGACAATTTTCTGCATGGAGCCAGGGTTGTTGTTCTGCATATACCTTGTCATCACAGACACCAAAAACTGTGTCCCCCAAGTGTTGCCCGAAAAGTTGAGGCACATGCCATCCTTGTCGATCTGTTGGGGCGGGCTCGGCACATTTCTTTTGCTCTTGGATGTGCCTGTGCCTAATGCACCATGGCATGACAAGATCCAAATCGGTCTTTTCTTCAGCGTTCTGCCTTCATCAGTATGACTGTAGATTGGCAGGCAAAATCGCAAGTCGATTTTGCCGGCCCTTTCCAAGGCCCAAAGTTCATAATCGGGCTCGACTAGTTTGTATCTGCGCCAGAATTCAGAAAGCAGCACATTCATATGCTGAATATCATTCGTCCCACACAGCTGACCAAGCTGCCCCCGCTCCACGAGATACCGAACCCAGTCAGAAAACTTCAAGTATGGAAATGCCTGAAGTGGGCCCGGCCCAATGCCAGTCCTTCTCAAAGGCAAATCTGCAGCTAGGCCATACTTCCTGAAAACACGATGCACTCCTGCTTCGGAATCCTTCAAAGACAAAGAAGCGAACTCTCGGAGGGCAGGGGGATGCTCCCGCTCTGGATCCTCTGCCACAGCAGCCACCGCAATCTCCACGACGTGCTTGCTTGCGGCCTCGGCGGAATTTGGAAGAAACTTGAAAAAACATGTTTTCGTCTCTTGTGTTGCAAGACATGCTCGCACATAGCAGAGAGCACAGACATAAGTAGAGAGAGAGAGAGAGACAGAGAGAACGAGAGAGAGAGAGAGAGACAGTCGCACAAAGTGCAAGAGACACGTGTATTTATCATCCGTGCAATCGCAGCAGCTTCTCCTAATTCGGTTCCAGGCACTTAATTAGCCCACCCGACGTGCTTGATCAGCCCGGCCACCTGTAATGTACACGAAGTAAGGTGGACCTTCCCGATCCTTTCGGTTTAAGGCCCCTTCACCACCACTGTTTGCTGAATTACGACAGCCTGTACAGGTCTGAAACTCAGAGATCAAAGCAGCCTCCAGCATGTGTATCAAGCCGACTTCGTCCCCAGCATGTAGGATCCACATGGCTGTGAAGCCTTTCTTTACATAGTCAGCATACCGGCGTGCGACATTGGCAGTCACACCGATCTTGAATACACACAGCTGCACACCCATGTGCTCACGGAAGGCCGAAGCATGGTTCTTGCATCGCAGGAGGATCTTGCCACACGTAGGCGGTGGCATCTTCATTGATGGGGACATGTTCTTTATCCCAAAACACTTCAGGGCTTCCCATTCACTAGGTAGGCAAGCAAAGCCGTCTGCAAGATCAAGAAGCTTCTGTGATATAGATCGGACCACATCCTGGTATCAGGGTGCTGCCTTTCGGACTGCATGTTCTATCCGAACACACCATCAAACCTATCATGAATAGTGAACATGCATACAAGCAGTGATCACACTGGCCTTCTCCAGCTCGGGAGGCTTGGTGGACTGGATGGTACTGCAAGCTGGAAGAGGCTCCACAATGGATCCTGTTTCTCCCTGAACTTTGGACTGCAGGCCCAGGGTCTTCAGTGATTCAGGAACAAGAGCAATTGTCCTTGCGGGCAACTGTAGGGGCATCTATGTGGCTATATATGTACAACCTACGTACCTACACCACCAAGTATGATTTAGGTTAGTTGAGGGTATATAGAAGGATGTATATTAGGCTACCTAGGGAGAGTCAGGGCACCTTGGGAGTTTTCGAGGAGACTCGCGCATAGATGGGACTGCACATCGCTTTCTTCCCGTGAAAGGGCAGTCATAAGTCAGCAGATCCAGCAAGTCATCCATTGCCACAGACCATTCAGCTGATAATGGTATCGCTTATGCAGGCCGGGACCCATAGAAGCAATGGTGTTCATGTTGTCTACATGATCAGAAACATAGGTAGTGTAAGCCTCTATATGAATGCTTGTGAATACATGACCTTACATATCCTATGCCTGCATACAGCTTTCATTGCTGGGACATTTATCACTACACCACCCTGTATTGGTTTCTCGTTGAATCAATGCGGATCGAAGCATAAGCAGCGGTCCCATCAAAGAGGCACATCCAGTAAGACAACACTCTTCACAAAAGCTCCAGCAACCAGCATTTGACTGCTGTGCAAACATATATAAGGACCCTGCTCCATGGGCCACGTGCTGCGCCAGCTTCTTCATCAGCGGCCCAGGCTGCATATCTGGCATGTGTGTGCACAATATTTTATGGGGAACAGGTGGCTGCTTGTTCGGTGCCGGTCCGGCATACATGGCAGATGCATGCAAGCACTGGTTTTTGTGCTCGCGCCACAATCACAGTTTTAGGGTGATCCTGTGGTCAAGCTTCGACTTGCCCACATTAAGCAGTGACACGGTTGCACGGAACAGAAAAGGCACGCACTAGAGTCGCGTGTTCGCGGCGATGGCATGCAATGCATGTCATCCCGACCCATAGGCCCCTAAACCCCGGAATTATTTAAATTTGGACTAAACAGATCCCGAAACACTGTATCATAACAGAACAGTACCCTAAACCCTAAATTTCGATAGGAGAAACGTACACACACACACGGCAACTGTCTTCAAGTTGCAAGGTGCGGTCGCCCAAAAGTCCATGGGCGAGGCTCGGATCAGCTCCAGCACCATAGTGGTACTCAGCTGCCAGCCTTGAGCTTCTTCAGCAGGTTCCTGTTGGAGAAGATGTATAGGGAAACACAAACCACTTCACATATGTATTTTCGTACATTTATAAGGGTGTATATGGGTGCAAGTATATGTGTGTTAGAACAGCAGAGTCAAATAGTCTTTAAAAAGCGGACATAGCACAACGGAACAGAAGCAGCTACAGAATCGATTGTTCTGGTTGACAGTGGGTCTGAGAAGCCGTGAAGAGCCACCCATATGACGCCATCATGTAACACATGTGTCTATAAGTGCTAGCGAGCTTCTTCGCCGTTGTCTCGACAGTGCCCACACGGCTGCACCTGAGTGGCAAAGTAGCAGCAGTGTTGAATTGCAGCAGGTGGAGACGTGGGCGCCTGGCAAGCTGTGCTGACAAGGCTCGCAACTGTGGTTGACTGCATTTGGCCATCCAGCTTCTTCACAAGCCTGACATGTGGAGGGCCATGTGAGCTATGGGGTTGATCACAAAGTATTACATCGCAACTTAAGTGCTGTTGTCCAGTATTGAATATAAGCGTGCTAAACAGGTTGGGGAGCTTCTTCAGGTCGTCATCACTAATCGACTTGTTGGAGAGCTGCGAGCACTCTGCTCGACATGTCTCCATTTTCTCATTCTCCTCTTCCAGGATGGCGATGACGGCCTCCAATCCCTGGGCAGACCTGGGCTGAATGGCTATATACACCATGGCTCCTACGGGATGGGCCTCTGCTGCTATTGGGTTCGGCTGGGGTTTCCTTACTTTACCTCGATATACATATATATACCCTGTAGCCGAAAAGACCTACCTTTTTAAGGAACCATATATAGAAACCATAATAAGGAGCCCTAAAAAGGTAGGTCTTTTCGGCTACAGGATATATACATATTGTAATATATATATATATATATATATATATATAGGCTTTCGATCGGGCATAAAGGGGAACTATAGAGGGTAACTAGGGAAATCCGAAACCAAGCTGAAAGGTTCTGGCAGGAACCACAAAAAGCCCAAGCGAAAGGTGTTGCATTGATGGGACTACACAGCCCCTTTTTGAGTTCTATGACCGAGGGTTCGGGTTTCAAGGATGTTTGTTGGTTGGGTTGTTGATATTTAACCGGGTGGCTTCTGGGCTTTCTTCTTGTCTGCACCCTCGGCAATCTCGGGGATGTACTCCTCTAGCTCAGCGAGGTGGTTGTGCAGCTTGGCGGACCGCGAGAGCAGCGAGTCAGAGAACTTCTTAAATGCACTCAGCTCCTGCACAGGAGCAGACATACGAACATATGTACGTGCGTACATAAGCACATGCATGCATGCCATACATGCATGATATAACCATATATAACACACACATAAACATGGCACACTTTTACATCCATGAACTCATACATGCATGCACTTTAATGCATTTATACACATATACTTACTTACTTATAAGTACATGCATGCCTATGTATATCTACATATCACACATACAAACACGTTCATGCACACATATGTACACACATCTGTGCATGCAGACATGCGTTACAAATCTGCACACAGTCATGTTTCATACATACATAAGAGCAGAAGACAAATCCCAACCAACTAGCAACCAATCAGACAAACAAACAAAGCAAATAAGCCAGCATCACACAAACAAACAAGCAAGCAAACAAAGATAGATGCATACATACATACATACATACATGCATGTGCAAATATATATATATATATATACACACACACCTACATGCATACATAAACATGTGCAGACTGATGTGCATAGGGACAGATGGACACAAATGCACACATCCAAACACACACACACGCACACATGTGACGCACAGGCACAAAGACCGACATGTTTATGAGGATCCCTCCACCCCTGCATCCAAGGTATGGCCTGCTGGCCCTGGGTGGGCTCATTGCTCCTTTTCTCCTTCTCTTCCTCCTCGCTCTCCTGGTCACTGTCCGACATGGTGGGCACCTTCTCCAAGGCACCGCCCGCGGGGCCATTGAGACCAAGCTTCTTCTTCCCCTGACAGGAATGGGTGCATCATTCGTTTAGCTTCATGTTGCAGGGACATGAATGGATTTGGTTTACGATGTATGTCAAACAGACATGCCATACTGAGAGTGCATGGAGCTCCTATTGCAGTTTGGACAGGCTGTCTATCTATGTCTGCCCAGGCACACTCTCGGATTCTTCGTGTTTTTCGGTGTCGATCTGCATGTCATTGTCCGAGTCATCCTCGTTGTATGTCACATAGTACTTCAAGAGCTTCTTGTTGTAGCGGTCTTTCCTGGTCATGTCAGCACACAAGGACATGCTGTGTAGCTAAATTAAAACCTATATACAGCCAAGTGGTAGCAACATCGCCTTTATCAGGTTGCCATATAAAGCACTGAGATATTGTCAGATGAACCAAACATCCCGTGGTAAAACCTCACCTGTCACTTGAGTGTCGAAGGATAATCTTGATGCCCAGAGAAGCCCAGACCTATATGCACTTTCCTCGCATCATGAAACAATATTAGGATAGTGGGCTGCAACTTTCATGCAGCCAGCAAGCTTGATCAACTTTTCGTTCCCGGGCTTCTTCAAGCACTTCACCACGTCCTTGATGTAGCTCCTAGGCTGCGGAGCAGTGGCGGATTCTGCACTTCGACTGAAGATGCTCTGGTGGATGAGTGGCATTTGCAGAGGCACATGACAGGGTTTGCAACTGCTGTTCTGCGACCGACAAATGTACTAGCCCATCTATATAGGACCTATATAGGAGTGCATATGGGTTGTTTAATACAAGGGCTACCTTTGGAGGAACAAAGTTTTGCAATGTGGCTTTGGGCAACCGAGAGGGAGAGAGAAAGAGAGACAGAGAGAGAGATAGAGAGAGAGAGAGAGAGAGAGTGAGAGATAGATAGAGATAGAGATATAGATAGAGATAGGGATATATAATATATATATATATTTAATTAGATAGGGTCGAGAGAGAGAGAGAGAGAGAGAGAGAGAGAGAGAGAGAGATAGGTATGTATATATATATATATAGAGAGAGAGAGAGAGAGAGAGAGAGAGAGAGAGAGAGAGAGAGAGAGAGAGAGAGAGAGAGAGAGAGAGAGAGAGAGAGAGAGAGAGGGAGAGAGAGAGCGAGAGGTGGAGGGAAAGGGAGAGGGAGGAGGGAGAGGGCGAGACCGAGGGTCACTCGGGTCACTCCAGGCAACACCGAGCTGCTTGCTCCATTTCAGGATGGTGTGCATGCCATCCTCTGTGTACCATCCGCGCTTGCGGTGCGAGCAAGCCTTTGACACCCTTTCGGAAGTCTTTGTCACCCGGCTCACGAAGCAATCCTGCCACTCACTAGAGCACACATAAGACTCGGACTCCGGTAAGCACATACCCATACAATATTATAGGATATAGGGAGTCACAAGCCAAGCTAAGCTAGATCGACACCCAGGCCCGCCTTGTCCCAGTCAGCAGCCTCGAGCTCCTTAAGCAAGGCCTTACGAACCTCCCCTCCTTTTGCCCAACGGTCATGCACCTCCTGCGGTACATTGATTTTCCCCGAGGGTTTGACCTCACATAGTCTCCTCAGTCTGTTGTCTTTGGCTGCCTGAGACAGCAACTTCAGTTGATGGACGAGCAACTCAGTGGCTAGGAGACATCAAGGCATGCACAGCCCCCCTTATATATACATGCATATATATGCACACACATGAACTTCGCTGGAACCACACAGCTATGTGTGATTGCAATGTATGTAGGCAAGTATGTTTGTGTGTACATATATGAGGGCATTGCACTGAACCACACACCTCCGTCTCAGGTACGGCTTTCTGCTTCGTCTTCGCCGCCGAAGAGCTCGCGGGCGTCGAGGAGCGAAGCTTCAAAGCTTCGACCTCCTGACATTTCAATCAGGCTACCTAGTAAGAGGGGCTTTGGTGAATTACATAAGGCATTCAAGGGACCGCTTGCAGCTTTCGGATCACATCATCCTTTGGGTCTGCCGGAGACTTCTTCTTGATCCGACGCAAGGATGCTGGGGAAGTTGCAGGCGGTGGGGACACTGGCTTCGCAAGGCCAGAGGTACGGGTCACACTAGGGGCTTTCTTCGGAGTTGCCATGATTGTGCTGGGGGTGGCTGTTGCACCTGTCTTCTTGGCACTTGGGGTCGGGGTCGGCGTTGCTCTTGAGTCTGGGGTTTTGTTTGCAGCACTTTGGTTCGGGGTGGCAGTTCGAGCTTGCGTCGGAGTGGCAGTTCGGGCTTGTGTCGGGGTGGCAGTTCGGGCTTGGGTCGGAGCTGTTCGGGCTCGGGCCGGGGTAGGAAGCGGTCGTGATGGTTGAGGCACTTCAGGCTTCAAGGCTTTGCCCTTTGCAGCGGTTCGCCTGACCTTTGCTGGCTTTTCTACTGCTACTGGTGGGGATGGGGGCGCTTCCTCCTCTTCCTCCTCTTCCTGTTCTTCCTCCTGGTCCTGCTCTTCCTCCTCGTCCTGCTCTTCCTCCTCGTCCTGGTTCTCTTCAGTATCCTCTGGCTGCTCATCGTCCTCATGTTCTTCCATTTCATCTTCGTCCTCTTTATCACCCTCTTCCTGCTCTTCCTCCTCTGGAACAGCACCCAACTTCTTGTTTGCAGCTTTCTCTGGGGTCTCGATCGCCTGAGATAACCATGCAAAGCTGTGGCAGGCCGTAATGTACTAATGTAATAGTTCGACGAAACACCCAGCTATGAAGCACCTGTAATTAAATCAAACACAACCAGATCAGAACCCAGCTGCCTCGGTTCGCCTTCTCCTGAGTGCTTGAAGCTGATCTTTCAGCTCCTGGAAGCAAGGTGCATCCAAACCAGGAGAGGTATGTGGTACTAGCTAGCATCCGGCACAGTGTATATTCAATAAATGGACATAACAACCCCAGCCCCTACCTTGATATTTTGTTCCAACTCGTCATCATTCATTGTCTCTTGCTTCGCACGAACCACAGCCACGGCTCCATCTTGTAGCTCCGAGCAGCTAAACTGCCGGGATTTCAAGAGTCTTTTGGCCATGGGGCAACCTCTAAAGAACCTCAGCTACTGCAAGCCCTGCTGGAAAAGCGCCTGCACAGGTCCTGGCTGGGATCATGGTTCGCATCCACAGGTAGATGCTCGGGCGTGCAGCAGTGCACGGATTCAGAACTTATTCGGGCTCATATCAAGTCATACCTTCTAAGCTAGGATCCATCCGGTAATTTCCCGAAGCAAGATCAACACAGGCCACACCAACCATTTTACGTACGTAGGTATCCAAAAATCTACATATCAGCCTCTACGGCATAATCCGGATTTTATACGTAAAGTCATTCGGGTTTCCACGCCCCTTCTACGGAGAAATACGGCCCTTCTACGGGTACGGATTTGCTGGGTTTGGGCCTACGTAGAAAATACGTAAAGCATACGTAGGTCCACGTATTCTTTACGTAGTTCGGGTTGTCTTTGGGTTTTGGTCCAGAAACCACTGAAAATGTATTTAAATTATGTAGTACCTAGGAAAAGCAGGCCTTTTAAATCGAATATGGAAAGACTGCAACTGAACTAGAACACAAACCAGCCTCACCCTGAACCTTCTACAACACCTCTAGCCAGTAATCTTCCAAGGAACCCAGGCCCCCCGAAGCGCTTTAACAGATGCAAGGATGTATGAGCCGCTGCATATGCACAGACACACGCTAAGCAAGCGAATTTCATCCAGGCCGTCAGCAAAAGGGCCCATGTTCTCCATGTATGCGACAAATTAGTTGGAATTGGCATTGCAGTTTACAGAGAAGACTCACTCGAGACAGCCAGCTCATAGACAAGTAGGAAAAAGGCCCCGCCAAACATCTGGTAGCTGCAAGGAATGGTTTCCTCTCAGGTACTGAAGAACCGAAACCATGCCAGCATCTTCCCACAGGTCAAACCACGGCATTCCTTCGAAGACCTGGGCCGCATCCACATTCTGAAGCCTCTGGAACGTAGGCTTGCCGAAGGGCTTCTTGCAGAGTTTGCGGTACAGCCGTGTCATTTGCAGCCCGAATTTGACAGGGTATTGCCTCGGTGCCCCATTATCGAAACCACATACTGCTAAGGAGCATGTGAGCCTGCTAGGGTAGATCGACAGCATCATTCTAAGACTTCTCAATAGAACCTTATATATACTGCTGGGCCACTTAGGAAAGATTCTCGCCCACCCCGGACCAGTGCAACAGGAGTACCACAAAGCAAGCCACATAGATTCATCTAGATATGTTATCATATGTAGATGACGATGACTAGGTTGATTTAAGCCACCGATATGTGCGTGTGCGTGCATGCGTGGGTGTGGGTGGGTGTGTGTGTGTGTGTGTGTGTGTGTGTGTGTTTGTGTGTGGCTTCGGCTTTGGGGTCTTAGCTACGAAACGAGTCTGCATAGGTAGTAGCATCCCCACTCAAAAGGGAAGAGCAGCTCTTCATATTCGTATTGTCCACTGAGGGTCTTGCTGTGTAGAAGCAAGGGCACCCGTGCCCGTAAATTTCGCCTTCCCCTTCTTGTCGATGTACTTGCGAGATGTTCGCGGCTGTAGGAGTCCCCTTCGTTTCAAGCTCCGAGCGAAAGAGCTCCTGCAGAATTTGCCCTTGGCGAGGAAGCCAATGTGGGGGCTGTTGCTGTAGCCCACATGCTGCTTCGGGGTGGTAGCTCCATAGTGCCCCATGAACCACGTAGTGGAAAAAACCTTAGATGAACAACTGTAGCCGAAAGCAGCAAGTGGTCTCTGCAAAGGATAAAGAGACCGATGTGAACAGCTGCATGCAGAAATAATCAGTACTGTTTTTGCTCGAACACTCTACCACAGGCCCTGAACAGCCACCTGATCCTTGGATGCCACTTGAGAAGTGAGCTCGCAGGCTGCTCGATAAACCAACAGCCCCCAAGGGCCGTGATCACCAGTGCGAGCAGAGCAACCCTTAGTTGGGCGAAAACCCAGAAGGTGACACATCCTAAGTATGGAAGGGCATGTGTATGTGTAAGGAGCTGGTGTGGATATACATAGATAAACATACGTACAGATGTACATGCACACATACATACATGCGGATGTGACAAAGCCGACCAAGCCCAAAATAAGTATGTGTGAACCTACAAGCACATATGCCACGACCAAAGCTTCCGAACGAATAGCACCATGCATAGCAACATATACAAAACTTACTGGTGTATGCATGACTTACTGCACACGTGCACAGCCTTAAACTCCCTAAAAGAAGTGCTCAAAAAGAAGCACGTACTGCTGACCTAGTACTATAGTGCTGTACAAACACTATATAGTACGAATAGTAGTACTAGTTCTAGTCTTATTAGCAAGAGTAGTAGTATTAGTAGTAGTAGTAGTAGTAGAAGTAGAAGTAGTAGTAATTGCAGCAGCAGTAATAATAGTAGTAGCAGTAGTTGTGTCGTACTACTACTACGACTAGCACTACTACTACTACTACTACTACTACTACTACTACTACTACTACTACTACTACTACTACTACTAACTACTACTACTGCTACTACTACTACTGCTACTACTACTATTACTACTACTACTACTACTACTACTACTACGACTACTACTACTACTACTACTACTACTACTACTACTACTACTACTACTACTACTACGACTACCGCTATCACAAAGTGGTACTGCGACTGCGGCTGCTACTACTATTACTGCTACTGCTGCGACTGCTACCACTCAACTACAACAACAACTCTACCAGAACTACTACTAACACGGACTACTCCTGCGACTGCTACAATAAAGACTGCTGCTACAACAGCAACTATTACTACTGGTACTACTACTGCTACTGCTACTACTACTACTACCACTATAATACTTGTACTACTACCGCTACTACTACTACTACTGCCACCACTACTATTACGATTTTTGGCACAGCTACTAGTACTATACACCCACTGTTGCTGCTTCTGTCATTACTTCTACTACTAGTGCTGCTATTACGACTACTTCCACTACTTCTATAATTTACAATTTGTACTACTACTACTACTACTGCTACTACTATTACTTCTCCTACACCTGCTAGTATTGCTGCTAGTACTCGTACTAGTACTAGCTCTAGTACTACTGCTACAACTACAACTACTACTATGAGAGCTACTACTGCAATACTCTTTGTGCTACCACTACTACTACTACTACTAGTACTACTACTACTACTACTACTACTACTACTACTACTACTACTACTACTACTACTACTACTACTTTCAGCACGGCTACTGCTACCAAAACAACAACCAGTATTGCGACTACCATACTTTTACCCCTACTGCAAACTACTGTTTTTACGGCTTCTATCGCTGCTAGTCCTGCTACTGCTGCTGCTGCTACTAGTAGACTACTACTGCTGCTCCTACTGCTAGAATCCGAGTAATAGTCGTAGTAGTGGCAGGGACACTAGCAGCAGTACTTGTGTTCAGAATCAGAGTAACAGCAGGTAATATAGTAGAAGTACTAGCAGCGGTGGTCCTAGTAGAAGCAGCAATAACCAAAGCGGGAGCAGGAGCAGAAGCAGGACCGGTAGTACTAGTACTAGTGGTAGTGGGGCAGAGTAGACATAGCAGCAGCAGCTAGCAGTATGTAGTTCGTGTGGCTACAAATAAAGTTTCGGTTTGCAAACAATGGAGTTGTATAGTGCATATATATATATATATATATTTTTTTTAAGGGCTTAGAAGGTGTGTGTATATATATATATATAATGTAGCTGCTAAAATGTCAGCACTGGTCGGTGAGAATGTATACATGTATAACTTGTATGTGTGTATATATATACACATATTTATACCCTGTATATAGTAAAGATGAAGTGGCTAAATGTTCGCAGTAAATAAGTGAGGTGCTGAGTTGTGTTAAAAGGTGGTGGGGCGATGACAACAATCAGGAAAAGAATGTGACGACTACAACCACTCCTAGTGCCATCTACAATTGCCTACGGTCTGTTTATGTCCGAAAATCAACTATATAAAAACATACCACCGAGTACACCTGCTCCCTCTTATCTATATATATATATATATACTACCTACCCTTATCTTACTGCCTGCACTGCTGCTCTGCATACTGCATCCTGATTGTTTGCCTTCTACATGATCTCGAAAAGCAGCACTCTTGTTCAACTTGTCACTACTGTTAATATGACTCTCTCTCTCTATATATATATGGCCTCAATTAAATCTGCAGACTCAATCAAACCGAAGCAACAAGAAAAACCTCTGATCGAATCATCACACTTTCTGAAAGCCTGCATGTGCCCTGAAATTGAACAGCCAAGACTCCTCGATGCGAGTTTGTTTCCATTTCTCACACACTCGTATTGTACATTTCCCAGTGGTAGGAATGGTGCCCGGCCATGAGTGCCACTGCTTACAATAACGAAACTGGAGCATACCACTGCAAACACAGCCAAGCACTTGTCTTCCACGGCACCCAATACCGATGTCAAAGCAAGCCTGGGCACAGATGGGCGAGGGGATTGAAAGCTAATTACAGCACATTGCTAGCCCTTTCCAGTACACTACATGCTTCGGTACACAGACATGCATCACCAGTGTCGTTCTAGCCAAAGCACGCCATCCCGGCATCACTCAAAAGGTCCATAGCGTTCTGCTTTCCAGGGGGCGGATTTCCAAGTTTAATGTCAAAGCTTCCCACAGCATGGCCAGCGAACCGGAGCATCCGAGACACATTGCCGGCTCCACAAAAGAATTCCAGGGCATCGAAAGCCTCAACTACAACACCCGAACCTAACCCGATGCACACACACACACTCCATCAGACCAGGGACCTGCCTGGAGAAACTTCACATTCACGTTGTTGGCATAGTATATCAGGATGATGCAGGCCAGCAGGATCTGCAGCACAGGACACTTACGAAACAATCCTGGGACTCGTGGGCGGGCGGAATTTCTCAGGCATGCATTGATGTAGCCTAAGCTTGGCTGGGTGAGTGAGCAAATCAATCCTATTCATGCCAGTCCACCTTCGGGGCATCCAGTCGTGCCAGACGCTTCAGCAAAGCATCCAGCCGCGCATCAGAGGTGGGCTCTTTGCACATATGCATTTCTGCGAGGGGCAACAGAACCACAATAAAGCAATGAACACACCAGACACCAAATGCCAAACTTTCTAAGGATCTAGCTGCTACCTGTCGATCTCCATTCTCTACACACATCGATCTACCTTGTCTGTTTGGGCAGTCAGCACTGTTTGCGGAAGGTTTGGGCAAAAGACTTGAAGCAGCAACAGGGCACAAGTTTGATACACCAACCAAGAAGTGCCACTTGGCACCCAGAGCACCCAGCATTCAGTCCCACTAATCAGCACACTCAAACACGGAAGGTGTGGCCATTCTCAGCGGCCGGCAACAGCCGTTGTCGCCAAGCATCGCCCCGCACCATGAACCACCTGGGCACACAAAACTCATCTCACTCTGATTGAATGAGCATATATAGAACTTATTCAGACCGGCCATGCATGGAGCTGCTGTATGCACGCATGTAACTTCCACAGCATTGCCCCGAAGAGCTTTTTTCTCTCGACACGGGTGGCACCCAAAAGTGCTCCACACTAGGATCGACCAAGCCTTAAGCAGCCCATCTAAGCAGGCAGAAGCAGATTTTGCCTACCCATCCAGGACCTGTGTTCCCCAGCCTCAGCCGAACATTGCAAATGGAAACGATTATCATAACTCGATGATGCAGCACACATATCACTACACCTGGTTTTACAAACATCTAAACATATGGCCAGCCCGGCCGGGAACTGCCTGCCCCGCAAAAGCCCCTCTGACACTGCAGCGGACACTCAAACTAGGTCTTTCAGAGAGCAAGCCTGACATCGTCTTTTCGACACTCAGGCCATGGAACTTATAATGGCCAGGCATCCGATTCTCAGCACACATCCTAAAAGCCCTTGCGTGCGGCCACCAAAGCTAAAGCCTCGAAACCCTTGCTTTGAACCCTAAAGAGTCTACCGGGAAGAGGTTTGTGTGGTGAGCAACTAACGAGGTAATTCCCGAAATGTTTGGGCATGTGTGCACATATGTATTGTTGTAAGTATGTATGCATGTGTGTATAGATGTGGGTATGTGCCATTGAATATATAATTTAATGGATGCATGACTACATACAGCAACTGTTCTCAATCGGACATTTGGCTGATGTATGCATGTGTATATATATATATATATTCATATGTATATATATGTATGTGCTATATATGTATATGTTTAAAATGAAGATGCCCCTCCAACCCGTGCATAGAAACCTTCGCGTACGGGAATCCATCTGCACTCATGATTATATACATATATATATATAGACAGAACTAGCTAACGACAGCAACATGCACACGTCTATAGTCAACCAGATCAACCAAAGTGACTCTGTTTGCATGTGTATTATACAGGGTAAGTATGTACTGTCTGCAAAACACTGAAGACTAAGCTAAACTTAGTTTCTTTCACCCCTTGCCTATTTTGTAGATATATGTGTATATATAACTACATATAGATACTTCTTAATCAGCCTATCATAGGCAAGAAGCTAAGCTAACGAAGGCCTGAAACCGCAAAATGAAGCCCGCACCCTGCTTCGCTGAGACTTAAAAATTCAAGCAGGGGGAATACCAAGCTCTTCCTTCAGAAACTTCCTGGCAGCCTTCTTGGCCAGCTTCACGAAATCAGTGTTCTCGTTCTGTTCGACATGGTGCCACTGAGCCATACAGTAGGTCCAGAAGGGATCCTGGGGCAAGGCCCTTATTGGGGTATATCTCAGCTACTTCGAATCTAATTCAGGCTCGAAAACACAAGCCTACATGCAACAGCATACCATTGGAACTGAATGTGTATGACACATGCATGCATGCACTCAGCATATAAGTCCTCGGACTTGGAAGGGAACTCAGGCAATCGGTCTCGAACAATACCATCGAAGGCATCACGAATCGCGATGAAGCGAGCCTTGTTCATGGCCTGCTTTGGCTGTCGCCTCCGAGCAAACGTCTTCGGCACCTCCTCCTCTTCGTTGTCTTCATCATCCTTTGGCGCTCTCATCTGTGGCTTTTGTTTCTTGGATCCGGACTTGACATCCTTCGTTTCATCCACAGCCTCAGCCGGAGCCTTGGCCTGCTTTTGGCTCTTGCCCTTGCCAGAGCTCTTACCACCTCTCCCGGCTTTGCTAGCAACGGGCTCATCACCATCCACAGCACCACCCCGTCCTTGGCGACCCCGTCCTCGGCCACGTCCTCGGCCCCGTCCACGGCCGGGGGCCACATTTGCAGTGGTCTCAGGCTCTACCTCGGGGGATGGTGATGAGGTTGGGCGTGGCACATCCTCAGCCTCAAAATAGACTGTGGCATTGTCAGGCTCCTCATCAGCCGGTGACTTGCGCTTCTTGTTCCCACCGTCGGCGTCCTTCTTAGCCCCGGCTTTAGCCTTGGGCCTGCCCTTGGCCTTCGGCTTCGTGTCGACTGCCCCAACCCCGGCCTCAGAGGCAGATGGCTCCCCAGCACCACCCTCCGGCTCCATCTGTTCTTCCTTCTCATCATGCTTTGCCCTCTTCGGTGGGGCCAGAGAACAAGCAGCCGGACGCTTGAGGATCTTTGGCCCATTCTTCTGCTTCTCCTTCTTGCCACCCTTTTTCCCACTAGCTGCATCCTCACAATCCGCCGCCTCAGCGGCGATGTTCTGCCGAACAGCAAGCTGCCCACGGCGAGAAACCTGATACAACAACACACGAGTTTTGTGTTTTGCATGACGATCTAGACATGTGACACAACTTCAACAGTCACACCCTCATGTCATTTCAGGCAAGGAACAAAGTCTGGTGGATTGAACCCATACTCGTCTGAAAGCTGCTCGGCACTCTTCCAAAGCATGGCAACCCCATCCATGGTCGGTCCATCAACGAGCTGGGTTTCATCATCATCGCGAGCTGCAGCTCGAGGGGTGGGAACTGTTGCAGCACCTTTCTTCAGAGTGCACAACTTACAACTTTAACATATATTACATACAAACCTCAGAATAACTTGTCTTCAACCAACACAGTTACATGATACATATATATATATATATATATATATATAAGTACACTAGCTATCTATCTTTCTATATATAGGTATACATAGATGGATAGGTAGACAGATCCATATATCACACATACAGTAACACGGCTACTCACGACTCTATCTCATTGTACATCAATGTAATATGAGTATCTGAATTACATTGTTTGGCGAAGCCCCACCTGGCTTGTCACATGGGACCACATTGGGCTTGTCACTGGGAGCTGGGACCTCACTGGACTTGTCATCCACATCTTGGACCTCATTGGGCTTGTCACTGGGAGCTGGGACCTCACTGGACTTGTCATACACATCTTGGACCTCATTGGGCTTGTCATTGGGAGCTGGGACCTCACTGGACCTATCATCCACATCTTGGACCTCATCGGGCTTGTCATGGGGAGCTGGGACCTCACCGGGCTTGTGATCGGGAGCTGTGACCTCACTGGGCAGCTTGTCACCAGAAGCCCCACTGGATCGGGAATCCTCAGCAGCCTTCTCTCCGGAGGCCTTGACTCTGGCACCCTTCAGCAAATGGCTCCTGCACACAATCACAACTTGACAGCAGCACTGGGAAACCTAAATCGGGACTGCCATCAGCATATTAAACATGCAAGATTAGAAGCCAATATGAAGTTCAACTCGGGGCCTCTTTCTCGCTGCTTGCACACTCTTCAAGGTAGCGATCGTCTGCTTCAGCTGGCGAAGCCGCATACAGTGACATTTGGATAACTTTCGATCACACGCATCACATGACAGCTCCTCCATTTCATCCACATCCATGACATCATTGTCGAAATGTTGCTGCTTGCCTTTGCGAAGTGATCGCCCGGAACCCTCCGGAGCCGGTGGTGGCGGATCAGCAACATCTTCGGATGCCACCTCCGCAGGATTGGAAGGCCTTGCGACCTCCTCGGCCTCACCCGTGTTGGCCACATCAAGAATCTCGCAGTCGTCATCCACCTGCGTATCCACCTGTGTCTCAGCGAAGGCACTCTCATCCTTATCAGGATTTTCCTTGTCCTCACCATCGGACAACAGCTCGATATCGCTGTCGTGCACGGATGTTTCATCTTCCGTGGAACCTGGCCATCAGTGATCTACAAGCAGAACACACAGCAATGAATGCATGACAGCACACATCTGATGAGAAGCTGTTTTCAATCATTCCCAGTCATGCCTGCGTCCCCTGCATCAGACTCTCCAGCATCATCATCATCATCTCCATCCTGCGGGCGGGATCCAAGCAACCAAAACAAGCCACCACGCACAAACAAGGAGTCTCTATATACACGTGACAGCAAAAGATCTATCCTGGCCGGGGATGAACTGCAACAGGTACTGGAACGCGTCATTCCGTGGAACTTGGCCACGCTGCCTCTTCCTCTTGAGGAGGACCACAAACTTCTTGCAGAGCCAGGCTTCTGCTTTCACTTGTTTCGGCTCCGTTTGCACTTTGCAAAGCCGGTACAGCTTCGCAAGCCTCGGTTACCATCGAGTTATAAGTATTGTGATATATGCGTGACTTCAGCACCGAACATGCAGTCTGCAATTGATTATACAATCCCAGTCACTCAGCCTCCGTTTGGAAGACAGAGCACACCTGGATCTTGCCAGCAGCATTTCGTGGCCACGTCAAGATAGCCTTGATCAACGGCTCAAGCACATCCTGATATTTCCCGCACTGTTTGACATTGGCGTGCGGGAGTCCATCGGTCCGATCGAAAATAGATCCGACCCTCCGAACACGTGCCCGGACTGAGGACACTTGCTCCCACATCTCCGCAAGCCCGCGCAACGAAGGCATCTTGAGCAATACCTACGTATGAAGCCCGTTCGAGAGCACTGCAAAGCCAAAAGTTCTAATCCATGAGCACGCAAAAGTCAACATTCATCAGTCTTGCTTGGCTGCATGATGACAAATAGCATGCATGCTCAACTCTTCATATGAGTGCCCGGCCAGCTGAACCGTCCCCAAAGGCCCAGCAGAGGCTCCAATGAGCCCAAACGAAAGCTCTGGAAAGAGCGTTCTTTCCAAGGCACAGCTCAAAACATCCTACTTGTGGCCCTTTCTCATCACTCAGAATCTGCATCCTGGAAAATGTAGGTCTCTATGAAAATACGCACCTTTGGGTGTAAAACCTAACTTTCGGATCAAGATCTAGGTTATTCTGGAAGACCCACAAAAGGGTAGGCCTTTCAGGCTACAGGTAAACCCTAAAGGGCCTCAGGGCTCAGGAAGTCGTGCGGCTTTAGCAGCAAGCGTGAGGAGTTCAGGGTGGCCTCTATAATGGGAGTTTCCTTAAATAAGGAGTACCTTATATTGGGGTCCTCATAATAAGGGGTCTACTATTTAGGGTACTATATTAGGGTCCCCTGTTTTCGGAAACTCCCCCATGGGCAGTTCTTGAAATAGGCTACCCTTTTTACGTTCCCAAAATAGCACGGCGCCGTTTCAGCAAGGACCCTAAAAGAGATCCTACTTTAGAGAAGTGCCCAAATAGAACTGCACAGTGCCCTTATAGAAGCCCTTATCAACCCCTTAAAAGGGACCCTAATTTAGATGACGCGGACCCTCGGAGCAAGAGCTGCAACATATTGCATTGAGTTGCCAAGTCTCGCAACGTTCCTTATGTGGTGGTATAGTGCATCGTGTTTTTTGTGATGGTGCAACGACATCTATTATAGACGCGTAGTTTCGGAGTATACAGTACAATGTGATGTAATTTGCGTACTCCAGGGCAAGACAATGCACGGCGAGGTCGCGAGGTGAGGTGAGGCAAGCTTAGGTAAGGTTGTATGCTGCAAGCTAGGGCTGGGCAAGGTAAAGTACCGATATCAATGTATATACCATGCATGCCCGAATGTGGGCATGTATCTGTGATGTTAGGCACGTAGTTAAACCAACAAGTGAGCCAGCAGGAAAACATATGTTCAAGTAGCGACATGTAGGAACAATTACATTTACATATGTACATGTATAACACACACACACACACACACACACACACACACACACACGTGCTCACATGAATGACTGGTTTTGTCTCTATCAGAGTAGGTAGGTCGGTAGGCAACCAGGCAGTGGTCCCATCCTTCCGGCCTTTTGTAAAACATGAGCTGGCTGTCCCAAAGGTGCTGAAGCCATAGAGCTCACCACGGGGTGGCCACCAGGGCGTCAAATGCAAAACTTGACCCTGAACCGTGTTGAGGGCGCTTCTCTCCTTTCCCTAAGGGTCCATGTACCCAAATAGTATATACTTTGGGCCCAATGTACCCATATAGGGAGTACTTTAAGGCCTAAGTATATACTATTTGAATACATGGACCCTTAGGGGAATCTTCGTGCCAGGCGACATTCCATCTTCCTTCTCCGGCGCCGGCCCAGGGCGGATCTCGTGGCTGCGGAGATAGGTGACGCAGCCCGGGATGTGTCTCGCTAGGTATGCAAGTCTGCACAGAGAGGCTTACATATCTTTGCATGGATGCACTAATAGTTTGTAAAACATTTGATATCTTATGTGATTCCTATATAATAACCTTAATTAGTACTACTAAGAATAAATCCTGCGATAATCTTAATAAGTATGTATTCATAGTATAATAATCATCGCACTTCATCTGTGTATACCTATGTATATATCGATATACATTTATGTATGCATACATATGTGTGCGTGTGTGTGTGTGTGTGTGTCTTCACATATATAACTGTATACACACATATATATATATATATATATATATATGTATGTAGGTAGGTATGTATGCATATACAAACATACCCCAGCGCACATATGTGTATGTCAACATATGCGCTCCTGCATGTATATAACTTAGCACTGAAGAGATGCATAGTCTGCAGTGTCCCATTTACATCTAATCTTGACTCCTTATGGGTATGGGTGTGTTTTGTGTGTATATACACATATACACCCCCGGGCCCAAAGTTTTGTGCTACCGGGCATTTTATCATGTTACAATCTGCGGAGTAGCGCATTGCTGGAAAGTCAATATTTCCCTACGTCAGCTAGCGGAGTAATTTCAGCGCCGTATTTTTGTTGTGGAGTAGGCCCCAAGGCTCACTTAGAGTCAGGAGACTACGCGGGAAATTGTCGGGGCATAGCTCCCGACCTGCGGCTGCTGCAGGGGTCGATATGTTCCATTGTTGCTACAATTTGGCACCAATGCCTGATCTCAGCTATAGTCAGAAGTGGCAATGATATCTTCAGTCAGATGAACATGTGGTAGCAAGGTGGCTAGTTTCATTTTTTCCAGCAAGCAATCCTGTCGAAATTTTTGGTGTTGGCACCATAACTGGTTCACCTAGGTAGGTCTATACCATAATTCCCTTAGTTTAGGGATCCGAAGCCCTAAGCCCTATAAACCCCAAAAGCCCAGGGTTTAGGGTCGTGTATCGGTCTACGAAGGTGGCAAAGCCGGTCGAGACGTAGAAGCAGCCGCCATCGAGATGGCACCCTCTGAGGCCTTAGCACTGTCTTCTATAAGCCCCAAAGCCCCAAGCCCTAAAAACCCCGAACTCCACAGGATCCGAATCCTCCTACTTGGAGGATCATGGGACTTAGTAAGTAAGGTTATAAGTACCTAAGTGGTGCATGTGTGAGGTTTTCCAGCTTTGAATGAAGGTTTAGAGTTTAGGGCTTTGGTGTTCGGAAGGAGGTTGCACCAGAGTTTAAGAAGGTTGCTTACAGTAGAGGTTTCAGTTTCGATGCCGGGTGCTCTTGCACTTCCAGTGGGACCACCATGTTGCGTGATACTTGCAATTAATAGGGGCCTAGAGAATTACCAATACTTTTTTAGAGCTATCGTATAATTATATAGTTTAATGGGCCCCAAAACCGTATTCTAAGAACTACGGCCCCTATACTATCGTACCCTTATACATCGCTTATAGTAGCCCTTATAACCCCCTTTGAAGGAACCCTTTTCTAATTATTAAGGTCCCTGTAGTATTGCTAGAGCCCAACATGAGGCGAGGAGCAGTGGTGGTTTAGGGTTAAGGGTTTAGGGTTTAAGGGCTTAAGGGTTTAGGGTTTAAGGGTTTAGGGTTTAGGTGGCTGCTGCCCTACGACGAAATCCGGCCATACGACTTTCAGGGGCCTTAATAGCTACAATAGTTTGGGGTATACTATACTATACTCATGATAAGGAAGCCCCAAGAATCGTATTTGCAATTTGTGGGCCCCCGTGTTATGCCATACTGCTGTGAATGAGACGACAGTCTTCTTTCCTAATCGTGATCAGGCCCAGCAGCAGAAATCCCGCCACGACATCAGCCGTTCTCTTTTTCCAGACATAGACAGACCACTCCGGTGTCGGACTCAGCGCTGTTTTTGTCACCGTCGTACTTCGACATGGTTCTGAAGGCAGGAGGTTCCAGAGATATCAGCTGTGGTTAAAGCCGATGTATGTACATACTAACTCGTGGGTAGACCATAAATCCCCAACTCAGACTAGTCGTAGACCATCAATCATGAACCCTCACCCCTTCTTGGAGCGGTGCAGGTTTTCTTGCAGTGTTTGCACACGCTGGAAGCCGAAGGCCAGTCGCACTCTTTGCCTGCCCTGTAAGTGCCGTGGGGTTTAAGTTTTAGGGTTTAGGGTTGAGTGTCTGGGGTGTAGGGTTGAGGGTGTAGACAAATTACTGGAGACAGCTCAATGACAAGGGGTCTGCGTTGCATCCTTGAGCTTCCCTAGTATAGTTTTAGTATATTATGCCCTGCGCCCTAATCTAATCCCTGATCTAGCCGTTCTGGCACGTATGGTGGATGGGGTTCTTTTAGGGGGGGTGGGCTTTACCGGCTTTTGTAAGGGCTTTGCAGCATCTGATAAGTAGGCATTGGGGGCCGAAACCCTAAACATTAGAGATGTTTGAGTTTATGTGGTCTTATGGGACCCTGCGACGGGGAGCTTGCCAGTCTATCTGGGCGTTGGGTGGAGATGAGTCGGCCTTTCAAGGCTAACTTTATTAGTATGTAGACCTTTCGGGCTTCAGGATGTTTCAGGCTTTGGGCTGTTTCGGGTCTTGGGCGTCGGAGTTTCGGGCTTAGGGTCATGAGTTCATGCTAAACAACAAGCGGCCTTCTGTGTTTCGCCTTCCTGGTGTGTCCCTGCTGTGGAGACCGCTTTTTCACTTCTCCAGGCTAGAAGAACGAGTGAGTGTTGGGGAAGTTTCGTCTGTAAGGGTTCAGGTGTCAAGGCTTTAAGGTTTGTAGGGGTTCAGGTTAGGCTCTAGCCTTAAACTCCAGGGCTTTGGTTCAGGTTTTGTGGTTTCAATCATTCGGAGATTTGCAGGTACGGAACCCTAAGCCCCAACAAAGAGCAACATCAGTAATATCAGCCATACTCGTTGAAATTATGGGGGGAGCCGTTATCTGATTTTCAGGGTAGTTTTTGATTACGGAATGCCGAGCTCTCTGGGTGTACCGATTTGATGCTTACAGCTTGTGCACGGCGGCATTTGTCTGCGTGCAGGCCCTTCGTGTGAGCTGGATGATGTGGCGCTGCTGGCGCCAGACACTTGACGGCACGATTTCGATGACGTCCGGATGCTAGTTTAGGGCTTACCTGTAGTCTCCATCGTAGTTCCTTTTTTTGGTTTAACCAAATATACAATGAGGATCCTTTAAGGTAACCCCAACAAGGAACTACAATGGAGACTATAGGTAGAGTTTAGCAGCATGCTGAGAGTTCTTTCGTTGGTATTCGGACAGCATCCCAAGCGGGCTTTGTGATTGGGTTTCATCAGTTTCATCTAACTTTTTCAATGCTTGTCGTCCAGAACCT